TCCTTATCCTGACCCCTTCTCAGTGTTATATAGTCGTAATGGGTTGGCGCTTTCCCCCTGATAATTCCCCCTTCCCTTCCTGTGAAATAATGGGGTGAGAATAGCTTGAGCTACTTCATCCCTTTGTGTGTATTTTACCTCAATAAACTTATTTCAATTTCCTGTGAAATGTCAACGATGACGTCCTAAAATTAACACCAGGGACTAGGCGCCTTAATTAACACTTGTGCATTTCTTCAAGTAACAAGATGATCATCGCGTCAATTGATGAGTTGAGGAGTTTTAAACGCCCCTTTAGCATCCAGGTGAGGGAGCCGGTCGGCCGAGCGGAGAGCACATTCGACTTGTGATCCTGTGGTCCCGGGTTCGATTCCGGGCGCCGGTGAGAAACAATGGGCAGAGTTTCTTTCACCCTATGCCCCTGTTACCTAGCAGTAAAATAGGTACCTGGGTGTTAGTCAGCTGTCACGGGCTGCTTCCTGGGGGTGGAGGCCTGGTCGAGGACCGGGCCGCGGGGACACTAAAGCCCCGAAATCATCTCAAGATAACCCTCCACAGACAAGCAAATATTGAATAAATATAGAGTGCAGTGCAATGAGATCGAACCTGCGACTGTGGCCTCCTGAGGCGCGCACATTGCCGACTGGACTATGATGGGCTTCTTGAGGTTATCTTGAGATGATTTCGGGGCTTTAGTGTCCCCGCGGCCCGGTCCTCGACCAGGTCTCTACCCCCAGGAAACAGCCCGTGACAGCTGACTAACACCCAGGTACCTATTTTACTGCTAGGTAACAGGGGCATAGGATGAAAAAAAAAACCTGCCCATTGTTTCTCGCCGGTGCCTGGGATTGAACCCGGGACCACAGGATCATAAGTCCAGCGTGCTGTCCGCTCAACCGAAAGTACTATCTAACATATAATAACAATTAATACAATATTAGTGACCCTACACATTGCGAGCGAAACAATCAACATTTTCCATATACTTCTCCCCAACATGTATACCAAACTATGAAACCCATATTAAATAAGACGAACAATTACAATAGCGAGAGGCGAGCTGTCGTATGCCAAACGAACTATAAAAATTACTCGACTCGAGGACCCTGAGGCCAGACAGCCCCCGCTCCTGCGTCAGGTAAGTCCACTACGGGCTCACCATAGCCCGTGCTACTTGCCCCGCTCCTGTGCCAGGTAAGTCCACTACGGGCTCACCATAGCCCGTGCTATTTGCCCCGCTCCTGTGCCAGGTAAGTCCACTACGGGCTCACCATAGCCCGTGCTACTTGCCCCGCTCCTGTGCCAGGTAAGTCCACTACGGGCTCACCATAGCCCGTGCTACTTGCCCCGCTCCTGTGCCAGGTAAGTCCACTACGGGCTCACCATAGCCCGTGCTACTTGGAACTTATTGTTCCAAGTAGCGAATCTTAAACAACGAGGAACCTGAGGCTAGACAGGGAAAGTTGGTGAGTGACTTGACACCTCTTGCCGCCACCACCACCGCACTTCAGGTCAAGAAAGGCAGCCCAAACATCCCTTCTCTTGCACGTTCCACTTGACGAGAATGACACAGAGCAAATAGAAAGAGAAATGAAGTGTACAAGTGGATGAAAGTGAATACAAAAAACAAGACATATATATATTAATGAGACGTCTTAATATAAACAGAAACAGATAAAGACGACCTACATGGAGACCGGATCGACCAGGGAAGAGAGAGAGAGAGAGAGGAAGAGAGATAGAAGACAACAACAACAACACAAATGATAGGATGAGAAGGAAGGAGAAGCGACATATCAGATTCAGAAACAAGTAAATTTTAAATTTAAATTTTGCCCCGGGGGCGAGTTTATTGGGCAGCGCCACTCATCTTGTGAGTGGACACACCGCCATAGCAGCATGTACAACACTCCCCAATAGGAAGAAAACCCGCTGGGTTGTTCATCCTGTCACTTGTACCCAGACACAGCTGGGACTTGCTTAACTGTCTCAAGTGAACAGCTCCTCAAACAAGAAGATTAACATCTATCAACCCTTAAAAAAAACTTAAAAAACTCCTTGTTCTCGTATCCCAGCTCCTTGTCCTCGTATCCCAGCTCCTTGTCCTCGTATCCCCAGCTCCTTGCCCTCGTATCCCAGCTCCTTGTCCTCGTATTCCAGCCTCCACATCCCAGTGACCTTGTGCGAGATACATTTGACGGCCATTTGACGCGTGCCGGCAACAAGTCACGCTTGACCTTTAGTCTTTCAAAGGCTAACGTGTACCCACCTACATGTGGACCAAACTCTAACAAGTCAAGCCTGGCCTCGGGCCGGGTTTGGGGAGTAGAAGAACTCCCAGAACCCCATCAACCAGGTATCAACCAGGTATGTCCTCATCGCCTAGGTGTCCGTAATTAGCTATGCATGCAGAGTTAGGCGTCAGCGCCTAACCACTTTTCTGATTTGGGAAATGACCCGACGATTGAATCCCCTGATTTATAAATCTATAAATCACCTGATTTATAGCTTATTTAGGCTATAATCCATTTGGGTTCTGTGGGGTTGGGGGCGTATGTGTGTGTTTTTACTATTTGTATCTGCAGAATCGAGCTATTGGCTCCTGGTCCCCGCCTTTCTTATCAATTTATGTTTCCTCTATTATGTTTACCACATATATTTCTCTAACACGCGCGCGCACACAACCCCAGGAAGCAGCCCGTAGCAGCTGTCTAACTCCCAGGTACCTATTTACTGCTAGGTGAACAGGGGGCATCAGGGTGAGGGAGGGAATTATCAGAGGAAAGCACCAGGCCATTACGACTATATAGTATTGGGATGGGATCAGGATAAGGACTTGGGATGGGACGGGGGGGGGGAAGGAATGGTGCCCAACCACTTGGACGGTCTGTGACAAGAAATTTTGCCCATTTGTTTCTGCCTGTGCCAGAGATCGAACCCGGCCTCTTAGGATTACGACCCTAGAGCGCTGTCCAATCAGCCGCGAGGCCCTTGTGTGTGTGTGTGTGTGTGTACTCACCTAGTTGTGCTTGCGGGGGTTGAGCTTTGGCTCTTTGGTCCCGTCTCTCAACTGTCAATCAACTGGTGTACAGGTTCCTGAGCCTACTGGGCTCTATCAAGTCTACATTTGAAACTGTGTATGGAGTCAGCCTCCACCACATTGCATTCCAAATAAGTTCCCAGACACTTATTTTTTTCTAATGTCTCTGTGGCTCATGTGGGTACTCAGTCTCCACCTGTGTGGAGATTTACAAAATCTGTGTGAATGATTTACAAAATCATTCTTACATATCCTCTACAACTTTCATGTTCAGCCATAGAGGCCCTTCAAGTTCAAGTATGTTTATTGAGCCAAGAAAATACATCTCAAAGGGATAGAGTAGCTTAGGCTAATTCCCCGCCCCAAGAAACGTTGAAATACAGTATCAACATTCCAACAACTTTTAAACGACCGTCCGCCTGGAAACTGGATCAAGTGACCTTTCAAGCTTCCTCTATTAAGCGTTCGACAAACGAAAGCAAAGGCGATCTGAAAGCCAGGCGAAAGCAGAAAGACAATGACAAAAACTTGACCGGTGACGCCTAACCCGAAGAGCCGTGGCGGAGGCGCCAAGTTTGTTTACCTCTGACCAGTCAGTGCCGCGCTACACGCCGTCGAGGAAGGTTGGTGCGCTAAGCCGTCTTCTCTCTCTCTGCTCTGTGGAGGGGGGAAGAGAGTTCCCATAATTCTCACCCAAGACGGTTAAACAATTATTTTTTCCCCCATTATCATACCCGTAGATGTCCTTAAGTTTGGTAGGGTTTAAAATCGGTTGGGGAACCGTCTTGTGTATGATTTGTATAACATTAAAATTTAGACTGTTCTTCCTCAGGAACTGAACCCCCAAAGTTCATGTCTAGCTAAGCAAATTAGTATAGTTGACTCCTGTCATTAAGTTGATCATCAATCCCCAGTTGATGACGTCTTCTATTCAACACGAGAAGACTCATCTACCATCATCTAGCCTGCTAGATTTCAGTCGACAAATAAAATGACTATCTCCTGTTTACATATACAGTAGCTAATGTATTCAGCAAATATTATACAGTTGTATGTGGATTTCAATGAATATCTTCCCCCTAGTCATTACTGCAGAAGTATTGTCAGCTACTTTGATAACTTGAAATTATTGTTTCCGTATTTAGACTTAAGTGACTGCAAAGAGTGCGAGTGAGTGTGAATGAGTGTGTGTGAGTGATAGAGTGAGAGTGTGAGTGTGTGAGAGAGTGAGAGTGAGAGTGAGAGAGAGAGTGTGTGTGTGTGTGTGTGTGTGTGTGTGTGTGTGTGTGTGTGTGTGTGTGTGTGTGTGTGTGTGTGTGTGTGTGTGTGTGTGTGTGTACTCACCTAATTGTCTAGTTGTGCTTGCGGGGATTGAGCTCTGGCTCTTTGGTCCCGCCTCTCAACTGTCAATCAACTAGTGTACAGATTCCTGAGCCTACTGGACTCTTATCATATCTACACTTGAAACTGTGTATGGAGTCAGCCTCCACCACATCACTGCCTAATGCATTCCATCTGTTAACTACTCTGACACTGAGAAAGTTCCTTCTAACGTCTCTGTGGCTCATGTGGGTACTCAGCTTCCACCTGTGTCCCCTTGTTCGCGTACCACCCGTGTTAAACAGTTTATCTTTATCTACCCTGTTAATTCCACTGAGAATTTTGTAGGCAGTGATCACGTTTCCCCTTAACTCTTCTGTCTTCCAGTGTCGTAAGGTGCATTTCCCGCAGCCTTTCCTCATAACTCATGCCTCTTAGTTCTGGGACTAGTCTAGTAGCATAACTCTGAACTTTTTATTGTAAACACACACCGCGTGTGTGTGTGTGTGTGTGTGTGTGTGTACTCACTTAATTGTGCTTGCGGGGGTTGAGCTCTGGCTCTTTGGCCCCGCCTGGGACCGGTGTGTGTGTGTGTGTGTGTGTGCGTGTATATCTATATATATCTCTCTTCCCACAGACCATGGCTGGAGTCGTGGCAGTACTGGTGGCCCTGGCGTTAGGGGCCCAGGCTGAGAAGGCCCCTGTTGGGTTCGGAGGCGGCTTTGGAGGCGGTGGCTACGGTGGTGGAGGCTTTGGAGGTGGCGGCTTCGGTGGCGGTGGTGGCGGAGGCTACGGCGGTGGCGGCTGTATACCACAAGTGCACTACAAGACCCACTACAGGAACCAGCTTAACGAGGTATGTTTACCTGCCATTCAGGCTATTATAGCAGTAGATATACGAGTCTGAATGGGGGGAGGGGAGGAGGGGAATGGGGTTACTGGGAGGGGGGGGGGCTTCACCGGGCGTGGGGAATGGGGGGGATTAGGGGGTTACAGGGATAGTGTAGAGTGGGGGGGGGGTCACCGGGCGTGGGGAATGGGGGGGGGGTTAGGGAGTTACAGGGATAGTGTAGAGTGGGGGGGTCACCGGGCGTGGGGAATGGGGGGGGGGGGTTAGGGGGTTACAGGGATAGTGTAGAGTGGGGGGGGTCACCGGGCGTGGGGAATGGGGGGGGGGGGTTAGGGGGTTACATGGATAGTGTAGAGTGGGGGGGGGTCACCGGGCGTGGGGAATGGGGGGGGGTTACATGGATAGTGTAGAGTGGGGGGGGGGGGTCACCGGGCGTGGGGAATGGGGGGGGGTTACATGGATAGTGTAGAGTGGGGGGGTCACCGGGCGTGGGGAATGGGGGGGGGGGGGTTAGGGGGTTACAGGGATAGTGTAGAGTGGGGGGGGGTCACCGGGCGTGGGGAATGGGGGGGGGGGTTAGGGGGTTACAGGGATAGTGTAGAGTGGGGGGGGGTCACCGGGCGTGGGGAATGGGGGGGGGTTAGGGGGTTACAGGGATAGTGTAGAGTGGGGGGGGGTCACCGGGCGTGGGGAATGGGGGGGGGGTTAGGGGGTTACAGGGATAGTGTAGAGTGGGGGGGTCACCATCCATGAGTAGCGGGCGGGGGGGGGGGTCACCATCCATGAGTAGCGGGGGGGGGCACCATCCATGAGTAGCGGGGGGGGGTCACCATCCATGAGTAGGGGGGGGTCACCATCCATGAGTAGGGGGGGGTCACCATCCATGAGTAGCGGAGGGGGGTCACCATCCATGAGTAGCGGAGGGGGGTCACCATCCATGAGTAGCGGGGGGGGGGTCACCATCCATGAGTAGCGGGGGGGGGGTCACCATCCATGAGTAGCGGGGGGGGGGTCACCATCCATGTTGTGGGGGGGGGGGGGGGTCACCATCCATGAGTAGCGGGGGGGGTCACCATCCATGAGTAGCGGGGGGGGTCACCATCCATGAGTAGCGGGGGGGGGGGTCACCATCCATGAGTAGCGGGGGGGGGTCACCATCCATGAGTAGCGGGGGGGGGTCACCATCCATGAGTAGCGGGGGGGGTCACCATCCATGAGTAGCGGGGGGGGGGGTCACCATCCATGAGTAGCGGGGGGGGTCACCATCCATGAGTAGCGGAGGGGGGTCACCATCCATGAGTAGCGGGGGGGTCACCATCCATGAGTAGCGGGGGGGGTCACCATCCATGAGTAGCGGGGGGGGGCACCATCCATGAGTAGCGGGGGGGGGGTCACCATCCATGAGTAGCGGGGGGGGGGGTCACCATCCATGAGTAGCGGGGGGGGGTCACCATCCATGAGTAGCGGGGGGGGGGGTCACCATCCATGAGTAGCGGGGGGGGGGGTCACCATCCATGAGTAGCGGGGGGGGGGGTCACCATCCATGAGTAGCGGGGGGGGGTCACCATCCATGAGTAGCGGGCGGGGGGGGGGTCACCATCCATGAGTAGCGGGCGGGGGGGGGGGGTCACCATCCATGAGTAGCGGGGGGGGGGGGTCACCATCCATGAGTAGCGGGGGGGGTCACCATCCATGAGTAGCGGGGGGGGGGGGTCACCATCCATGAGTAGCGGGGGGGGGTCACCATCCATGAGTAGCGGGGGGGGCACACACACACGTGTATCGAGATAAACGAAGATACAACCAACCTACTTTATCCCCATTCAATAACACAATCACTGACCACAATATTTACATCAACAATCCGTCTCTGTCTCACGAAAGACTTGACCTTATTTTACTGCTTTGAGATCAAACCTTTGTCCTAAACGGTGGATATTCTGAAGTTATAACTTAAATGTATTAAAAATCGTTGGTTTAAAATATACAAAAATATATACTGAACACGTTTTCATTGAAACTTTGAAGAATTTGGCTTTCTGTAAATGGAATTCAAGGGTACACTCAAATAGTTTTCGAATGCCATATTTCAAATGAGAAAAATATACTGTATTACCGTAACCAAACGTAACCATAATCCATCTTAACCATGGATAAGGAGTTTAATTATATAGTGGTTTTAAAAGGCATTATCACTACGGGGATTTCCTGTCTTGGGTCAGGTGTAACGTTTCTGCCTCGTCCGGGGATTGAACCCAGGATTTTCGATTATGATTCGAGGGTGTAGAACCTATGTACACAAATAGAACCTATGTACTACAGAACCTATGTACTACAGAACCTATGTACACAAATATGGTCAACACTAGCATTCAATACACGAAAAACTACATAAGTCATCAATTCTCGAGACTTTGGTGTCCTGTACCCTTCCCTGCTCCGCAAGGACACTAGTACATCGCCCTATTCGAAGCTCGAGTGTGTGTGGTGTCCTAAACCCCGTATTGACCCCTTCCTTGGTTCAGTTTTCACATATCCATACATTAAAACATTGATTGTAACCATGATATATATGTGCTTCAGCCTACAGTTTAGACCTATATGTATGACCCTCTGTCCTGGGTGACAGTGAATACCAGCATTATCCTCACTTTAACAAGACTATCAAAATCCTCAGATTAGGCAAAATTGTAATTAATTTTGTCAATAAGGATGTTAATAATAATAGTGTTGAGCAGACCACACACTAGAAGGTGAAGGAATGACGACGTTTCGGTCCGTCCTGGACCATTCTCAAGTCAATTCACAATCGACTTGAGAATGGTCCAGGACGGACCGAAACGCCGTCGTCCCTTCACCTTCTAGTGTGTGGTTTGGTCAACATACTTCAGCCACGTTATTGTGACTCCTCGCCTGCTTAATAATAATAATTCCTTGGTCCACAGGTGCCCGTGTACAAGACGGTGATCAGCAAGAAACTGGTACTAGAGCCGTACACGGATTACATCTACAGTACCATCTACAAGGAGAACACCCTCTACCTCACCAAGACGGACTACGTCACCAACACCGACTACCTTACCAGGGTGTGTACCTGAAGCGCTGCTTATAGGAATAGTGATGATAACGATAAGTTATCACGGGCTCACCATAGCCCGTGCTACATTGATATTTCGTTCTTAGTAGCCAAATCTAAATCAACAATGAAAGTTGCAGACGAGGAGTCACAATAACGTGGCTGAAATATGTTGACCAAACCACACACTAGAAAGTGAAGGGACGACGATGTTTCGGTCCGTCCTGGACCATTCTCAAGTCTATTGTGATCGAGCACAATCGACTTGAGAATGGTCCAGGACGGTCCAAAACGTCGTCGTCCCTTCATTTTCTAGTGTGGTCTGGTCAATAACGAAATTATGGACACGAAATTATATGAAATTACATGAAATTATAAATCACTATAGTTGCAGACGATAAAACTAATAAGAGTTTAAACATACAGCTTGAATAAAGAGAAGTTTGAGAGAGTGAGAAAAGGAAGAGAGCAAGCTTGTACTCCTCCTTCTCTTGCTACCAAGATGATCAAGACTCACCTGGGCTGCCCAGCCTCCCCTAGATGATACAACTTGATAGCATCATTGTTCACAAACATCAAAGACTCTTCATTCACTTTCTACAATAAAGTTCTCAAATATTTTACAGATATCACAATCTTCTTTACCTCTCTTTCCTTTCTCTCCCTCTATCTCCTCCTTTATTGCACTCTACCTTTTCTCCTAATCTCTCCTGTCTGTCAGCAATTAATATTGTTACAGAATTCAGTAATATAAAATATCTTCTGACATTTGGCCTTATTTTTATATAATATTGATGTACCATGTAATGCGAACAAGCTTGAATGGTCCCCCAAGCCAATATGCAACTGAAACCAGTACCATGTAATATTTTGTTTAACATTTGACCCCTTTGTTGCAGGTGACCCACAAGCGATACACGGAGACACTGTCGGAAGTACTCTACCTGCCCGACTACACCACAGTCACGCAGGACGTGACACAGTACCAACCGGTACTGCTGACCAAGCACGTCTACACCACTCAGATCGCCCCCTACGCCATCACCACCACTCAGGTCGAAACCGTCTACGACACGATCACCAAGGAAACCGTCATAGCGCACCAGAGCGAAGTGCCGGTGTTGAAGGCCCTCACCATCACCAGAACCACCACCAAGTACCACAATATCGTCGTCACCGCTACGAAGATCCCGTACGGTGACGATAACCAAGATATCGTTCTCGTCACCAGTAGCATCATCAAATACAAGCCATCGTACGTCACCAAAGCGTACTATCAAACACAGTACATCACCACCACGAACATTGAGAGAGTACCATTATACGTGACCAAAACGGTTGCGGCGTATTGTGGGCCCTCTGGATATGCCTATTCTAGCCCGCGTATCCCTTTTCCAGTGGGGGGCTACGGTATTCCGTCTGCAGGTGGAGCTCTCAAGGCGCTCTCAGGCAATCTCGTAGGGGCCGGACATAATAATGTTGTATATAAGTGATCAGCTCAACCAGCCATCACTAAAAAATCTCTCTTCTGAACAGCACAGTTCACTACTTTGCGAGTATATCCCCAGTGAACAAAACATGCTCGAGTAACGTTGAATCGACATTGATTCTTCAATAAATCAACGCCATTTGCCCAGAATGTTCCCACTGGGTCAATACTCGTCGACTTTTGTGAGCATTGTGAATGTTACACCACTTACCACAAGCACTAAACTGCTTGTGGAACTCACGTGTCGGAAGTTTTCTGAGTAAAAGCCTCTACTCATATGAGCATCCCACACCTCACACAATCTTGTCAAATGCACAAGAAACCAGTCCATTAGATACTCAAGCTATGCCTACTCTTAAGAGCAGTATATACCAGGACCAGGATTCATCAAAAACTTGTATCTACTTACGAAACCTGTACATCTCTCCAATCAAGCCGTGGAGAGGGGGGTGAACCTGCTGCTTGGGTAACAGCTTCTCCCCCGTATCAACCTACCCTAGCTTTGCGCCCTAGAGAGGCCACTCCAGAGAGCAACTCCACTCTATTACATAAATGCTTGACGGGTCCTAGTCCTGACAGAGGCTCATATGACACATCCTTATGAGAAAGCTCCTCAAAACCTCTCGTGAGTAGCCAAGACTACTAATGATTGTACATTACCTCATCTATATAATGCGTTTATAGAGTCTAGGGATCTTCCTCTCAACATTAACCACAAAATTATCTTCTGTTGACATTATGTAAATGATTTAAAACCCATGTTAATATAGAATTGATATTGTTAGTGTGTAAACCGAGACTTGAAAGACCTCGCGTCTCTTTCATTAGTAACAAGAATTCATATTCCTACATTAGAAAAATGTCTTAAATTAACAAAAAAATATTAAATTACTAACGTCAATGCAAAAAAATGCATTAAGTGTTTTCTCAGATAGAAAAGGGAATAAGAACTGACAGAAGATAACATCAAGACGTTAACTAAACAACATTTAACCTCAAAATCCAGCCTACCTTGAGGTGCTTCCGGGGCTTAGCGTCCCCGCGGCCCGGTCGTCGACCAGGCCTCCTAACCTCCTGTTTTGGTAGTACTTATAGAAACGATTAAGACCATAGTATATATACCGACGTACAAGGAAATTAGAAAAGTAGAAATCTGAACTACTGAGTTGGACAAACTGGAAAACATTTTTTTTACTTGTGTTAACTTTACAAACTAAACTAACCTAACCTCCCTAGACCTAATATACGATATCTGAGGCCTAATATAGTACATGTGTGCGCTATACTAGGCCTAGGAATATTTAAATTTGTGTTTTAGCATCATTTATTTTAAAAGAATGCCTTACTAGTCAGTATACTACTATCTAAAAGCTAAGAACGTACGAATTGTGACTATTGACGATAGTCACAATAAGTACTGTCTAAACAGGAGGATGGGGGGTGCAAAATTGCACTACAATTTCCTTAGCAGAAAGTTAATTTTGTCAATTTAAATTTGTCTACAGGAAAGAGGAAGATCAACAGACCATTTTTTATTGATTGTTATCAATAGTAAATCTATTTTATTGTTGATTATGTATTATTTCAATATGTAGTGTCATGTCACTTGTAAATATATATATATATATAAATACATAATGAAGTATTCATGTGGTTTTCCTTTAAAACATTTAAGGTCTGTAATTTAAATATTTTTGTATTTTAATGCCAATAGGATGATTTTGTTGGTCACAACTGCTCCTAAGCACTGAGTTAAATTCCATTAATCACTCTTAAAAGGGAATTGAAATGCATATGGAAAAAATATAAATTTACAAACTACATTTTTTAGGCTAAATCTCCAACACAAATTAATGTAACATGTTTCACATCATTCGCAAACAAATATTTTTACACCGTTGATATAAAAAATGAACTATATAAATGAACAAAATTAATTTGGAAAACTAAATTGTTAAGATATATGGGGAAAAAATTCGACTAGTCGCCCAGATGATATTCTATTACGTGCTTTCCGCGCCAAAACCCAGCCGCCACTTGGCGCCAAAACCCAGCCGCCACTTGGCGCCAAAACTCCACTTGGCGCCAAAACTCCGCGTCAGAAATGAACACCAAACGGTAACCATTCGCCCTAAAACTGCCACTTACTGATGCTAAAGAAACACCATCAGAGCCACTTTCTACACGGACTTTCTCAACTAGTTGAACTGTGCTAGACAAAATACTCTTAGAAATCTATAAATGATTAAAACACTCAAGTTATTATATTTAAAAAATTGAGTCATTTATTCAACCCAGAGTTGAAGACGATCCTCCACTCCAACTGGCCTCGTATGGGCCAATAGGAGCTGCTTCGGATGGACCAATAGCAGCTGCCTCGTATGGACCAATAGGAGCTGCCTCGTATGGACCAATAGCAGCTGCCTCGTATGGACCAATAGCAGCTGCCTCGTATGGACCAATAGCAGCTGCCTCGTATGGACCAATAGCAGCTGCCTCGTATGGACCAATAGCAGCTGCCTCGTATGGACCAATAGCAGCTGCCTCGTATGGACCAATAGCAGCTGCCTCGTATGGACCAATAGCAGCTGCCTCGTATGGACCAATAGCAGCTGCCTCGTATGGACCAATAGGAGCTGCCTCGTATGGACCAATAGGAGCTGCCTCGTATGGACCAATAGGAGCTGCCTCGTATGGACCAATAGCAGCTGCCTCGTATGGACCAATAGCAGCTGCCTCGTATGGACCAATAGCAGCTGCCTCGTATGGACCAATAGCAGCTGCCTAGTATGGACCAATAGCAGCTGCCTCGCATGGACCAATAGCAGCTGCCTCGCATGGACCAATAGCAGCTGCCTCGTATGGACCAATAGCAGCTGCCTCGTATGGACCAATAGCAGCTGCCTCGTATGGACCAATAGGAGCTGCCTCGTATGGACCAATAGGAGCTGCCTCGTATGGACCAATAGCAGCTGCCTCGTATGGACCAATAGCAGCTGCCTCGTATGGACCAACAGGCCTTCAACAGCTTCCTGTATTCTTATGCTAACGTGAATAACATTAATTCAGTAAAAAAACATTAATTCAAAAATTAAATCAAACACAACATTGATTTTAGACAATATTTCGAGGTCTTGAGAAATAAGAGCAATAGATCCCATGTGCGTCAATAGATTCATTTGTCTCAATTTATCCCATTCGCATCAATAGATCCCATTTGCCACTATGTATCTATCCCACTATCTATCTATGCCACTATGTATCTATTTGGCAATCAAGATCAAATTTGCCGTAATAAATTTCATCTCTCTCTCCCTCTCCCCCCTCTTTCTCTCTCCTCCTTTCTCTCTCCCTCTCCCCCTTTCTTTCTTTTTCTCTCTCTCTCTCCCCCCTCTCTCTCTTTCCCCCCCTCTTGCTTTCTCTCACACACTCTCTCTCTCTCTCCTCGTCAGCGACAAAAAGTAGATCTGGCGACTCTGGCAACCGAGCTGAAGGCTCCACAGGTGACCGGGCTGAGCCTCAGTGCCTCAGTGTCTGCCGTGGGAGATGGACGTCCAGTCAGGTGTGTCCAAACTGCATTCAACTCTCCGCATATTATGTATATATATATGACAGTGTCAAACCACGGAGGAAAATTGAAACAGTTATGTCCTTAAGTACTTTCGTATATTAATACATCTTCAGATGGAGTCTTCACTCCTCCTGAAGATGTATTAATATACGAAAGTACTTAAGAAAATTCGTTTCAATCTAATAATTCGCGTTTTATACGTTACAAATACGACTTACTAACAGCTCACAAATATCTTACGTTTTCTATGCATCGGACTCTTTTTTTAGGTTATCTTGAGATGATTTCGGGGCTTAGCGTCCCCGCGGCCCGGTCCTCCCAGCCAACCCATATATATTTCAGAAGGGCACCTGGTGGCTGAGTGGGACAACACTCAGGACTCGTAATCCTCGGGACCGGGGTTCGATCCTCGGCGATGGCGGAAAACAAATGGGCAGATTCTTTCACCCTGATGCCCCTGTTCACCTAGCATTAAATAGGTACCTGGGAGTTAGACAGCTGTTACGGGCTGCTTGGTGTGTGTGTGTGTGTGTGTGTGTAAAAATTTAGTAGTAGTTAGTAACAGTAGATTGACAGTTGAAAGACGGGCCGAAAGAGTAGAGCTCAACCCCCCCCCCCCCCCGATACTATAGGTGAATACACACACACTTTGAAACAATTAATTCCAATCTTGTTTCTTTAAATTTTCAAGAACTCTTTCCATAGCTCATGTTCTCGATAACAAACTTTTTTCCCCTTTCTACTACTTCCAGTTTTTTTGCATTCATGTAATATATAAATATTTCAGAATTAACTGCGTTCGATCCCCCAATAACTCAAGCGGTTAGGACTCCGTTCCCAGTACCATATAGCCACATTGGCCCTGGTATTTCAGACTGATAACTATCTTATCTCGAACGGCAAGTTGGAAACACATTTTTTCCCTAAATCAATGAATTTTTAATCCACAGCCAGGAATCGTGTGCGGCCTCTGCTGCTGGCGGCTGCCTCACTAGCCATGATCTTAGACCGTACCAATGCTGGAAATGTTGGCGGCGGCTTCGGCGGTGGATACGGCGGCGGTGGATTCGGTGGCGGTGGCGGCTTCGGTGGCGGTGGCGGCTTCGGTGGCGGTGGCGGCTTCGGTGGCGGTGGCGGCTTCGGAGGCGGTGGATACGGCGGTGGCGGCTTCGGCGGCGGTGGGAAAATCATCCCAAAGCTCAAGCCCTGCTTACCTGTCACAAAGATTGTTACGAAGGGCAAGCTGGTCGACCATTATGTGAGTATAATAGTGACTTCTTTTCTGTTTTTTTTCGGGATACAATTCACAGCACACAAGACGATTTGCCAACGTATTTTAAACCCGATCTAACTAGTAAGCCAGGAAAGCCTAACACAATCTAGCCTAACACAACCTCGCCTAATACATCCTAGCCTAACACAATCTAGCTTAATACATCCTAGCCTAATATATCCTAGCCTAAGACAACCTAGCCTAAGACAACCTAGCCTAATACATCCTAGCCTAATACAACCTAGTTTAATACGTCCTAGCCTAATACATCCTAGCCTAGCGATATATATACGGTTCTGAAAATCATAAATCAAACCTTGTCGAACAGTCTTGTATACGATTTGTACATATCCCATCTATCAGCGTGTTTTTGTAGGGCTTATATATTACTGCTAATCTATTAGTGAAAAACTTTGGCCATTTTGTATGTCTCGGCCCCTATCCCTCTCCTTCTAACCCTTTCCCCCTATCCCTCTCCTTCTAACCCTTTCCCCCCTATCCCTCCCCTTCTATCACCTGCCCCTGTACCTCCCCTTCCTCTATCCCTCTCCCATTCTAACTCTTTCCCTTATCCCTCTCCTAACCCCTTCTTGAGGTTATCTTGAGATGATTTCGGGGCTTTTTAGTGTCCCCGCGGCCCGGTCCTCGACCAGGCCTCCACCCCCAGGAAGCAGCCTGTGACAGCTGACTAACTCCCAGGTACCTATTTACTGCTAGGTAACAGGGGCGTTCAGGGTGAAAGAAACTTTTGCCCATTTGTTTCTGCCTCGTGCGGGAATTCCTTCCCATTTAAGCGCTCCCATCACACACACTCCCTTGTGATCTTGACCCTACTCTGCCCCATCTAAGACCTTCCGTCCCACAGGTGCCCATCTACAAGACTGAGATCAAGCCGATCGTGGTACCCACTACCTTCTACGAGACCAACTACCTTACCAAGTACAACGTCGTTACCAAACTCATCTACACCACTATCTACGATAATCACATCGAGTACGACTCTTCCGTAAGTATTCATCTAGTTGTGCTTGCGGGGGGGGGGGGTTGAGCTTTGGCTCTTTGGTCCCGCCTCTCAACCGTCAGTTAAGAACATAAGAACAAAGGTAACTGCAGAAGGCCTATTGGCCCATACGAGGCAGCTCCTATCTATATCCTATCTGCATAATCTATCAATTAACTGATATATTGTGTGTGTATTCACCTAGTTGTGTTTGCGGGGGTTGAGCTTTGACTCTTTGGTCCCGCCTCTCAATCGTTAATCAACTGATATATTGAGTGCGTGTGTTTGCAAATTAAAAAAATATATATAGAAAGTGAGAAAGTTTATGAATTCTTTCGTATTCATTCGAAGGCAAGTAAGCTCTCCAAAGATGTGAAACGAATCCAGTAACATTATTTAGCACTAGTTTTAAACGTAAAATATAAAAACAGTATCTCTAATATGTCAGACAATACAACATACATAATGTAAAGTTGATATTTGCCATCAGAGTGGTTCGCCACACCTAGGCGCTGGAAAAGAAATCTGGCTGCTTATAGGGCAGAGTGGGAAAATGTTGTAAGTGGAGTGCCTCAAGGCTCTGTCCTGGGACCTCTGTTGTTTATAATATATATAAATGATTTAGATTCAGGTTTGAGTAGCAACATTTGCAAATTTGCCGATGATACGAAAATCGGTAGGGAAATTAATTCGGAGGAGGACTCACTATCACTTCAAGTTGATCTAGATAGGGTTTTGAAATGGTCAAAGGATTGGCAGATGCAGTTTAATGCTGATAAATGTAAAGTTCTGAGGTTAGGTAATGATGATAGAGTTACAAGATACGAGCTAGATGGTGTTGTGATTGCGAAGTCGGATTGCGAAAGGGATCTGGGAGTTATGATTAGTAAGAATTTAAAACAAAAGGATCAATGCATAAATGTTCGTAATAAGGCAAATCGGACACTTGGATTTATTAATCGCAGCGTTAGTAACAAGACACCTGGTGTGGTTCTCAAGCTATATCTTGCTCTAGTTAGGCCCCATTTAGATTATGCAGTTCAGTTTTGGTCGCCATATTATAGAATGGATATAAATTCACTTGAACGTGTCCAGCGTAGGATGACTAAGTTAATTCCCCAAATTAGAAATCTTTCATATGAAGAAAGATTAACAAAGCTTAAGTTGCATTCACTGGAAAGGCGAAGAGTTAGGGGCGACATGATAGAGGTTTACAAGTGGGTGAATGGACATAACAAGGGGGATATTAATAGGGTATTAAAAGTATCAACACAGGACAGAACACGAAACAATGGGTATAAATTGGATAAGTTTAGATTTAGGAAAGACTTGGGTAAATACTGGTTCAGTAACAGGGTTGTAGATTTGTGGAACCAATTGCCGCGTAACGTGGTGGAGGTGGGGTCCCTCGATTGTTTCAAGCGCGGGTTGGACAAGTATATGAGTGGGATTGGGTGGTTATAGAATAGGAGCTGCCTCGTATGGGCCAATAGGCCTTCTGCAGTTACCTTTGTTCTTATGTTCTTATGTTCTTAGGGCCAATAGGAGCCGTCTCGTATGAACCAGTAGCAGCTGCCTCGTATGGACCAATAGGCCTTCTGCAGTTACCTTTATTCTTATGTTCTTAAATAGGAGCCGTCTCTCATGACGCGAAATGCTTTGTCTATTATAATATTATTTCATCCACACACAACAGGTGGCAGTTGGGACCCATTACGTGAGTGTGACGGACATCCAGCAGGTACCAGCCGTCACCACCGTCACCAACATCGACCTACAAGTGGTGCCATCTACAGTGACCAACATCAAGGGCGTGACGGTAAGCTCGGCCACCGTCCTCGCCGACACCATCTACTTCACCAAGACTATTACCAAGCAACCCATCTTCACCGCCACGGAGAAGGTGCCCTTTCCGGTAGTTACCACCGAGTACGCAGTCGTCACGGACACGAAGATCGTCGCCGACACTGTTTACGTAACCGTTCCGCTTAAGAAGCCTCCTCCAGTAACATCTATCATCACTAAAACAGATGTGCATTACACTCCAGTAGTCGTCACTACCACCATCTTCTCCACCGTCTACGACACGGTGGTGGAGCGCCAGCAGGTGCCTTATACCGTCGTCGTGTCATTCCCCTGTGCCGCCGACAGCAGTGCGGTGGGCAGTGGCGCTGCTGCAGGCTTTGGCTTCAGCGACGCCATAGCGAAAGAGGCTGGTGTGGCGGCTGCAGGTGTTGGATTGACGACGGCAGGGGCTGGTGTATTGGCAGCAAATGCTGGAAGCCAAGGTCTTTCTCTCCTCTCGTCTCACGGCGACAGCTCTGGTGACAGTTATTCGTCTTTATAACAAATGGCGCCATTAAGCCGTTCTCTCTGTGTCCTGCTTGCCGGGCGCGGTCAATGAGTCCGCTCCTGGCAGGTCGTTCTTACTGCAAGGCAAAAGTGCTTTGCCTTCAATATACAGTGATTTGATAAACATACATGACTTTCTCGAGAAGGATAAATAAGACTTGCAGAGTCTTAACAAGTGATGTCCACGAGGGTAATCAGACTTGTTCAAAGTTTAGCGAGTCCCCGTAGGTAGTAAGACGTGCCAAGTCTTACGTGTTCGTGGGTAATAAAGACTTACCTTAAGGTGCTTCCGGGGCTTAGTGTCCCCCGCGGCCCGGTCGTCGACCACTCATGCTAAGTCTAATGAACCGTTTTTCAACGGGAGTGTAGCGGCACTCAAAGGCGTTGCTAAGGACCCACAAAGGTGCTCCAGGAAGTCGGGGGCAAAGGCGAAAAAAATTTACAATAAAAATTAGCGTCTGGGTAAATTTTAGCGGTGTAAATGTTTCGTCAGACACCATCACCGTCACTGTGTTGGTCTCGATTGTTTCAAGCGCGGGTTGGACAAGTATATGAGTGGGATTGGGTGGTTATAGATAGGAGCTGCCTCGTATGGGCCAATAGGCCTTCTGCAGTTACCTTTGGTCTTATGTCTTGAGCCGCCTGTTAATACCATTGGGTGTTGTTATTCAGTGTTTAATTCGCTTTATCGGACACAAAGCGTTATACGACAAAGAGTGCTGGGAAGACGGGACACCACGAGCGTAGCTCTCGTCCTTTAACTACACTTAGGTAATTACGTAATTACAGTAACCATATGCATGCATATTGGTGTACCTCCTCTGGTGTGATTGTAGGGACCCGTAGCCTCAGCGAAGAGAATAACGAGCATTTACAGAACAACGTGTTTGACTCGACATACGTGAGTATGCGCTTCTGCGCACGCGCGCTCTCTTGCTCTCTCTCACACACTTACGATATCAATCTTCGGCTATCCAGAGAATCTATCGAATCTGATGCTCCTACAGGAGAGGACATCACAGAAATCTATCTGTGCCCTGTATTTGCAACCGTTGCGACAGGTTCCAGTTATCTTGAGGTTATCTTGAGATGATTTCGGGGCTTTTTAGTGTCCCCGCGGCCCGGTCCTCGACCAGGCCTCCACCCCCAGGAAGCAGCCCGTGACAGCTGACTAACACCCAGGTACCTATTTTACTGCTAGGTAACAGGGGCATAGGATGAAAGAAACTCTGCCCATTGTTTCTCGCCGGCGCCTGGGATCGAACCCAGGATCACAAGTCCAGCGTGCTGTCCGCTCGGCCGACCGGCTCCCTAACGCAGATCGAACGCAGGTCTATCCGGATTAAGAACATGCTTGTATGAAAGTCGAACCCTCCCCAGAATCAAACCCTACAACAGCTGTCTTAACTCCAGGTAACGTACAGAAGAGGCATCAAGTAAAAAGAAAAGTGCCCAACCATTTCTGTCCTGCCCAGGGCTCGAACCCGGGTCCCTCAAGTGTGAGTTGATAACGCTGTCAACTATACAACAAATGCATCTTTTTTTCCTCCTATATTTTTTTTGCTAGAATATACTTTATATTATTTTTAAGCCTGATAGTCAGGATTTTTTTGTAAATAAAAGTTTATCATTCCCATCTTTAATAATTAATCCTTAACGTGATTAACGTCAACTAACGTCAACTAACGTCAACTAACGTCCTACAATACCCAGGATCACAACGTATCTGATGTCAAGCACTAATGAAAACATGAAATGTATCTTCACACGCGGACGCCGGTTCGAATCCTCGTCACAGCCCTTGTGGATTTGTTCATTAAGAAATGTATCTCTTTCATATTGCCTAACTAGATGGGGGTATCCGGCGGTGCCCGGGTCTCTCCTCTGCTCTCCCTCCTCTCCGAATCATCTTCCTCCCCCTCTGCCATTTCTTTCCCTAGTGATTTCCCTTATCACCCTTTACTCTCCTGTCTCTTCCCTTCGTCTCTCCTCCCCCCTAACCCCCTTTCCACCAATCGCCCCCCTCCAACTTCCCTTTCCCTTTCTTACTGTCCCCTTGCTCCTCTCTCCCCTCTCCCCCCCCCCCTTCCTCTCTCAGAACATACAATGTTCTGGGATGCTCCTGGACGCAGGTTCGAATCCTCGTCACGGCCCTTGTGGATTTGTTCATGCAAGGTATTGTACCCCAGCAAATTCACAACGAAACCACAATGTTATTTTTAACTATTGTTACTTTGGTGCAACTTTGGGACAACGTTATGGTCATATGATAAAAATCGGTTAAAAATTCTATACAAAAGAAACCATTCTTCCTGTTTCAGACACCATGGGGGTCGCAATAGGAGCCGCTCCTTCTTAATGGGAGGCAATGGGGCTGAGCCCAACCTCCCTATGGCTGTCCTATACTACCCATATGTCATTTTGAAAAGTTGGGTGATAACCCCCAAATGTCTAGCACCTTGGACACACATTCTCTTTTATATAGACACATTTAAATCTAAATCGGAATTTAGATTATAGAATATAATCTAAATTTTATTAGATTATAGAATATAATCTAAATTTTATTAGATTATAGAATATAATCTAAATTTTATTAGATTATAGAATATAATCTAAGCGTTATTTATTAAGATTTTCTCTTATGTAAATTATATTTTGAAATTGTGTGTAAACTGTCAATTGTATAAAAACAATCATAAGTCAAATTTCTAAATTTGCCACTTTATAAAAAAAATGCCTAACAGAAACGTTGTATGAATAGGTTTTTTATTTAACATTAATTATATGATAAATGTATAATACAAAAATACATAATTCATTATAAGAATTTTGTCGCTTGTGGCACAAGATTTTCGAAAATAATAATTTAAACATTTTCATTTTTCTCCGATTTTCAAAATTCAAACCCCCCCTGCAGTTTTCAAAATATCCCAAACATCCCAAATTCGATACCTGAGCCACATTTTGGACCCAAATTCTAGCTCTCTGCACCTATTCGCAGTTTGAAATTCCGACTTTTTATACCAAAAATATGCCAATTACTGAAAGCGGCGGTGGGTCACATTTTGCCCAAACCCCCCTACAGTTTTCAAAATATTCCAAACATCCCAAATTCGATTCCTGAGCCATATTTTGGACCCAAATTTTGGCTCTCTGCACCTATTCGCAGTTTGAAATTCCGGCTTTTTATACCAAAAATATGCCAATTACTGAAAGCGGCGGTGGGTCACATTTTGCCCAAACCCCCTACAGTTTTCAAAATATTCCAAACATCCCAAATTCGATACCTGAGCCATATTTTGGACCCAAATTCTGGCTCTCTACACCTATTCGCAGTTTGAAATTCCTACTTTTTATACCAAAAATATGCCAATTACTGAAAGCGGCGGTGGGTCACATTTTGCCCAAACCGCCCTGCAGTTTTCAAAATATCCCAAACATCCCAAATTCGATACCTGAGCCCAATAAAATTAAGATAGAGCCAATTAGCTGGCAGTTTAATGCAAAGTAATTAGCAAAAGAATCCACCAAGCAGGTAAGACTGTTTAGCACCAATATGTCGCAGGATATTCAGGCCCTAAACTTAATTCAGAATCCCAACATATGAACAAGACATAAGACATTAGAATTGTTGATTTGTGGAACAAATTACCGGGTAACGTGGTGGAGGTGGGGTCCCTCGATTGTTTCAAGCGCGGGTTGGACATGTATATGAGTGGGATTGGGTGGTTATAGATAGGAGCTGCCTCGTATGGGCCAATAGGCCTTCTGCAGATACCTTTATTCTTATTTCACACGTAAGGTTCTACACATATCTTGAGGTTATCTTGAGAGGATTTCGGGGCTTTAGTGTCCCCGCGGCCCGGTCCTCGACCAGGCCTCCACCCCCAGGAAGCAGCCCGTGACAGCTGACTAACACCCAGGTACCTATTTACTGCTAGGTATCAGGGGCATAGGGTGAAAGAAACTCTGCCCATTGTTTCTCGCCGGCGCCCGGGATTGAACCCGGGACCACAGCATCACAAATCCAGCGTGCTGTCCGCTCGGCCGACCGGCTCCCTGCTGTTACATAAGCTTCATAAGGTTTATTTCACACAAAGTTCTACTGAGTAAGGTCAGTAGAACTTCCAGTTGCAATTCTTTTACCATGTCGTAGCTCAGTCGATTAAGGCAGCGTCTGGGATCCTCTCGGACCTAAGTTCGAACCCTCGTCACGGCCCTTGTGGAATTGTTCATTTGTTCATTCTTATGTTCTTATAAGAAAAGCAACTTCAAAGGGATCGAATTCAACAAAGGATTAATATCGAGGGACAAGAGACTCAAAAGGACATTGAAAAGCAAGATTTACGAACAATATGAAATTTGGGACAATCTACGAGGCGCAAGACTAAGCTGAACATTTCAATTGGAACAGTAAGAAACAGGGCATTGTTCCATGTAGAGGCCACGAGTTGAGCATCTGTGACCGATATGTAGCCTAGCCTGAGCCGTTTCCCATCGCCAATTATGGTGGTAAAGAGGAAGGATCATCAAGAGTGCGCAGTTTGATGCCCAGGGGCCAGATTCACGAAGCAGTTACGCAAGCACTTACGAACCTGGGGGCCAGATTCACGAAGAAGTTACGCAAGCACTTACGAACCTGGGACCAGATTCACGAAGCAGTTACACACTGTTACTTACGAACCTGTCCATCTTTTCTCAAACTTTTGCGACTTTGTTTACAATTATTAAACAGTTAATGAGCTCCGAAGAACCAGGAGGCTGTTTATAACAATAACAACAGTTGATTGGCAAGTTTTCATGCTTGTAAACTGTTTAATAAATGTAACCAAAGCCGTCAAAGTTTGAGAAAAGATAAACAGGTTCGTAAGTGCTTGCGTAACTGCTTCGTGAATCTGGCCCCAGATATCCAGAGCATCGATCCTGCCAAAGGGCGCAGATAAGGGTATGAATCAATGGATAGAAATCCGCACAAGGAATCCATTTATTGGAAATGTAACAGGCACGAATGGCCTCCTTAGCAGCGACGCCATTAATATGACAGGGTATATGACATATATATGAGAGGCATATCATCAATAAACAATATGAGAGGCATATGACAGGCCTCCTGTCGCATTTGAGGCGACAGTGTATGTCTATGTATGTATTAACACGATGTACTGAACGGGGTGAGAATAGCTTGAGCTACCTCATCCCTTTGTGTGTATTTTACCTCAATAAACTTATTTCAATATGACAGGGGTATCCAGCAAAATTCGACTGTCTTAAACCTGCTAAAGATGAGACATCCAGTACTGATTATCGACCACATCGGGATGGGATGGGTTAAAGAGACACTAGACATCTTCTTGAGGTTATCTTGAGATGATTTCGGGGCTTTAGTCTCCCCGCGGCCCGGTCCTTGACCAGGCCTCCACCCCCAAGAAGCAGCCCGTGACAGCTGACTAACACCCAGGTACCTATTTTACTGCTAGGTAACAGGGGCATAGGGTGAAAGAAACTCTGCCCATTGTTTCTCTCCGGCGCCCGGGATCGAACCCGGGACCACAGGATCACAAATCCAGTGTGACATGATTTTCAATATTAAAAGGATGAATAAACATTGAGCTTATGAGATTAAATCGAACTCGTGGCCCCTTTATTCCGTCATACAGCCTCAATGTACTTTGATTCATCAGCCCTGGAGCTATGGGGAGCCGGTCGGCCGAGCGGACAGCACGCTGGACTTGTGGTCCTGGGTTCGATCCCAGGCGCCGGCGAGAAACAATGGGCAGAGTTTCTTTCACCCTATGCCCCTGTTACCTAGCAGTAAAATAGGTACCTGGGTGTTAGTCAGCTGTCACGGGCTGCTTCCTGGGGGTGGAGGCCTGGTCGAGGACCGGGTCGCGGGGACACTAAAAAAAAAAAAGCCCCGAAATCATCTCAAGATAACCTCAAGATGATAGCGAGGGAAGCATTGTGTGAACTTCTGCTGGAAATGACGCATCTTTCCAAGCAACATTTCCCATTTTCAACGGAGGAATCCTACTGCATCAAACACGATTCTAACCCAGAGCAAAAACCTCTTCCTCGTGCTCCACCCTAAACACCTAAAACCTTCCGCCAAGAGCAGCCATTCACTGACAACCCATCGGACAGATGGTCTGATGACCCGAATAAGGACCAAGTTCTATGC